AAATCTCAAGAATTCAAATAATAAACTTCTCCGATTATGGTGATAACGTATAGATTAAAAAAACAAGTATACAAGCATTTCATATTGCGTCAAGCATGAAAGCAGTGAAGTCTCACCATTGGAACCACTATATCTTCTTTTCCAGTTTTCCTCAAAAATGTATAAGACAGCAATCCAATACTTTGCGTTAAACTACAGAGAATGAAAATTCGCATTATCAGTTGCTGAATGGCCCGTGACAAAAATAGAGATAAAAAAAGTTGTTTTCATTCAAGGTTGACGATCAGATATGAAGACATCAACAAGCCAGGACTGTTATATCAGCACATCAAACAAGCATGCCAGTTACCGAAATAAATACTTCGGACAAAAGAGAGTTAAGAATAAACCTCTTCCCATCCTTCCCCTGACAGCGAGAAAACACAATCACGTCTGATCCAAGCCTCATTGTACTTGTTTTGAAGCCGTTTCCATCTGAATAACATGAAACGAAAAAGTTTGACAAATGGCATATTCCAGAGTTTCAGTAACAGCTGATGGTTTGATTAAAGGAAAAGGAAAATGGCTTACATTGACCGATTGTGTTAGCCATTTTGCTTTTGGCAGAATATCCGAGAGACATGCATGCCCGCATCTTATCGGGACTCATTCCACCACCGTCATCTGTAATGAACATAAGCGACGATTAAGAAACCCATCACAAAATAAGTAGACATATGTAATGTTCATTCGCTACTTCGTCACACAATACGAAGCCCTTTCTTATGGGATTCGATTTTTCTTTTTCTTTGCACCTTTTGGAATGGTCTTGACTCTAGAGTAGTTGAGCTACATAACAGAAATGACTCATGTATTTCCTAAATGACAAGGGGAATGTGCAACCGGATTAATTACTTAGCATGCACCGAGCCACTCTCTAAATCGAGAACTGACAAGATAACAACACAGAAAACAATAGTTATAGAGATCGTACGTACCTTCAACTAACAACATCTTAGAGGAATCCTTTTCGTTTTTCAACACATCTATGCGAACACATGTAGCTCCATTACCAACCTAAACAGAATCATCGACAGTCAAGAAAAAATTAAGAAACGAAAAGAAAATCCACATTGGAACCATGAAAGTACCTCATCTACAGCATTGTCTAGGAGTTCAGCAAAAGCTGCACATAGAAACCCAGATTAATAAAGTTCACCTATGCGAATTAAACAAACATATATACAAATAGGAAATAGCATAATTCAACGACCACTAATTACCTCCCAGTGCCCATTTATGGCTGGTTGCATTTGAATGTAGAAACTTGGGGTGCACCCTGGCGTGATCCATGCCAACTACGTACACAGATATGAATAAATTAACGTCAAAAATTTCAACGAGATTAATTAACGAAAACAGCGGTACAAAATGCATATTCCTTAATTTGTGGCTGGAAGTAAAGGGAGGAACTTTCCAACGTCAATTCAACGAAATATGTAAGAACTTGAAAAACAAGGGCATTGCCCATTGTTCTCTCTGTAAACATACAAAATTAAGCAACAGATTAGAGTAGCATGGCTAACCACAAGCATGATCACCAGATGAATTAGTAACACTGACTTCCTCATAATCCCCTGCTTTCCAAAACTGCCTGCAACCACGTACAACATTCGGAACAACCGCCACTTGATTATTCTTATTATTATTATTACCAACACCAACATGCCCTTCTTGATGATCATGCCCTTCTTGACGATCATTATATGTTAATGGTGGGGGTACCATTCGAAGGGGAAGAGGAGCAAGAAATCCATGATCAGGCACAACAAAACCTGAATCACTCTCTTGCTTCGGTTTCTTCTTCACCAAATCATGACCATGACCATTACCATCACGATCATTCAAGGTGGAGTTCCTACCACGTTTAGCAGGAGTAGACCTGAATCGTTGTTCAAGAAAGGAGTCGTCAATGTCCGTACTGTCATGACTGTCAGAGTGAAGGCTGGAAGTACTGTCACTACTACAAGAACTCAAATAACTTGATGGAACTATGTTGGGATGGTTAATGTGGTCTTGTTTTGACGTAGTAGCAGTGGTAGTAGTAGTGCTGATCATACCAGGTTCAAGGATTTCTTTCTTGATTCCTGAAGCCATGTTATATGATTTTCGGAGTACTGTTTGTTGGTTTTTAGGGTTTTTGTCTTCGGGGGATAGAGAACAGAAATTTGAGGGAATTTCCGAGAGGAAGGAGGAGGAGGGGTAGAGTTACTGAGAGAGAAACTTCCTTGTTTTTGATTTGTGAAAAACAAGAGTGGCGCGACTCTCCGTTCCTCACCTTTTCTTTATTTATATGAAGGGATTTGCGCGTCTCGTTGAGGCCCGATACCTGAACGGACAAAGTCACAAAATAACCGCCGTATATTATTATCGGTTCAATATCCTTATGTTTTATTTATAAACTAACTACGTATTTTAATTAGTTTGATATGATGGAAGGTAATATCTGATTTTTTTTTAATAAAATAATTTATTAACACACTAATGAATCTATATTATTATAATTTTTTTTTATATTATACAACGGAGAAGAGCTACCTATTGTACAGCTCAAAAACTCAGAAATCTACGATAAATAATAATAATAATTATAATTAGTGCAATACTAATGATGGATTTAAAATAACTAGTGTATGAATAAAAAAATAAATTTAAATTTAATACGTGGCAAATAGGGGTATTGTGAGCATGTGTGTATATATATATATATATATAATTACTTGATATTTTTTTATTAATTTTAAGAAATTATTTCGCAAAAAGTAAAATTGATTATTTTTCCAATCAAACTCTTTCATGCTTAAAATCTGAATAATTTTACATCGAGTTTGATAAGTTATGATTAAATTTGTAAGTTGGGTCTAAAAGGATATAAATTAAATTTTAACTATAATAAATTAAAATCTTTATCTATCTATATATTTACAATGAAATAGCTGTTATATTGACAAAGCCAACATTTTGAACTAATTATTGGAATACAATAAATGTTAAAAAAGAAGATTTTACTTAACACACTCTCTCCACTTTAAAGCAACATTATTATTATTGTTCTTGTCATTATTATTATATATTCCATTGATGGATTTCACAACATTAAGTTAGTGCCAAAAAATTTGTGAAGCTACTTGTTTGAACGAGTTAATTAGAGGTACAATCCACTTTGAGGTGGTTTTATTGGGAAAGGATAATTTCTCAAGAATATTGGGTAAGAGATATATAAATGTATTTTAACCTTCTTCTTCATCTCATCATCATCATCATCGTCGTCGTCATCATCATCGTTTCCATAATAATAATAAGGTTGAAATTTATATTATAATTATTATTTTCAATAAATTGATATCCAAGTAATAGTTACCTAAGTCTGCTATTCCTTCTAAAAAAAGTCTCCTCCAATTAAAGAAGAAGAAGAGGGTTATTTTGTCTCTCCGTGCATGCCCTAACATCTAATTAAAAAATGCCTCTATTTCTTGAACGGATGTAGAACTACCATCAGAGCTGAACTTTGGGCGGTTAAATTAATTAGGCCTTGAAATAGCATTGGATTATGGTTCGAGAGCTATCCAGGTGGAAGAAGAGACTAGATTAATTGTCTGTGCAAGTGCTTATTTTGAACAAGGGATGATAATTATGAAAGCACGAATGCTAATCTGCTCAATTATATTAAAAGATTGTTGAGCAGGGATTGGGAAGTGGCAGTCTCCCATGTTTACAGAGAAGAAATTTTTTGCGCTGACAGATTAGCCAATAAAGGAATAGAGTTAGAATTTAATACTGGTTATCCTACAGACACCCAGGCTTATTACAGTACTGTCTATACAAGGACTTTGTTTTTTTTTTTTTTTTTTTTTTTTTTTTTTTTCTTCCTCTCAATTTCTACGTTTTGGAAGGATTGGGGGTTTAGGTTTTTGTTAACTGTTATTAATTATGTTTTTTTGGTTTTATCTAACTCCCACTTAAATAAAGAATTTTTTTTTTATTTGACTTCCGTGAATTTGAGTTAAAACTAAGATACTTATGTTTTGTGCTGTGTGGTTTTAATTTGCAGACAATTCATTATCTTGGTTCTTGTTATCAATGGATGACAGATAGGTTGCTTTGTCATACAATTAAGGATGTATGTGGTTTTGAGAGTTTCGGATTTGAATATCCTCAGACGACCGTGCTATCTTAATGACCAAATTATTAAATTCTATTTTGCTTGCTGATGCATTCATGGGCATAGCCAGTGAATCATCAAAAGATGGTACTCCAACTATGAAAATGAATGGTGTAATTAAATTCTGCTGTGCGTTTCTTTATAGAAACTAAAACGCCACAGCAGACAAATGGATCGATTTGATGGCATTCATGTGAAAGGAATGGCAAAGGAAGTGACAGGTCGTCTGCTGTTGAAAGACGTTAATGCGTCTTTGCAGACGACAATGCGAAGCGAAGTATTGAAGTTTATTGAACATAAAAAAATGAGTTGAGCCTGCAGATTGGATGGATTGTTTATATATAGAGGCATTTTTTGTAGGATTTGATGTTGTTGTGGTTCAAATTTTGTCATTAAAAGGAACATATGGTCATTTGGAATCTATCTAATAGATATTATCATAAGATTATTATTATTAATATTATTTTGATAGAGAGGTGAGGTTATAGAGATTTTTTTTAAAAAAAATACTAATTGATTTGTATTATCGATCAAACGAAAAGTGAAATACAAATTATTTTTTAGTTTATAATTAAATCGATTCATTTCATTAATCAAAATTCAAACATGTTTTTAATTTACACATAATTCTGATTATGTAATTCAATAAATAAAAAATAAATGAATTTTGTTTTTTTATCAATCAACTTGACATATTAAATTTACAAATTACTTCATTCCTAAATTAAAATAAAAAATAAAATTTTATAAAAACTCGAAATCATCCTCTCTCTTTGCAGATCTCATTTCCTTCTTCTCTTTATGTTTCTTCTCCCTCTCCACCACCACCACCTCCTCTCTTGTTGTGGTGGGTAATTTTGTTGAGGTCTATAGTTAGTAGCGCCTCCTTGCATATGTCCTTGTTGACTGTGCTGGGGTGGCGGCCCTTGATGATTGGAATTGGATCTCCTTGCTGGTCAATTTAGGTGGAAATCTACTCCGCTCACGGCGTCTTTCTATAAACTGGGGATGGACTCGAAATGACCCTCTATTTTCATAGGTGTCTCCTGTAAAGTGGCTAAAAGAGTTTAAGTCGCCAATCGAACGGCCCACTATCAGGCTTGCTTTTAACTACTTGTGCAATACATATGTAGCACACAACTACTTGGATGCATTTTTACAATTGAATTGCATCAAGAAATTTCAATCACAAGGAGAAAAACCCGACCTCCATATTCCTTGTTTGTTGAATCAATATAGGAATCTGGTAATATAAAAACAACCCTAGGTATGCCTATTTACAGCGTCATAGATGACAAGCCAGCAAGCATTCAAGAGAAAAATGGTTTATTGTGTTGCAATGAAGTTGGGGTTTGAATTTGATATGTATTTTTGTAATATAGTGATAGAGGTCTAGGCAAATTCTGAGTGGGTTTCTTATATTCTTAAAAGTGATTGATGAGATATCACTTAGAGATTTGATTTTTTAAACATTATTAATTTAAGTATGAATTTTTTAGTCATTTTATCATAACCTGTGTGTTATGTGTATTTAAATTTTGATCAACAAGATTAATCGATTTGATTACAAACTAAAAAATAATTATATTACTCGAATTGAAAAAAATTAAAATTGGAGTAACAATCTCTATTTAACCAATAGTATAAGGTACTATTAAACCAAATTAGCCTTTAAAAAATTAATAAAAAATGTAATAATAAGTTGAACTATAGTGCATGGCTTTGTTATATATATATATAAGCAATAAAGTATTCTTGAGTCATTTTAGTATTAACTGAAACTAAATCCATCACTTGTCTGGACGAAACTAGCACTAGGACACGCTTAGTTTTTTTAATGATCAATTGCTTCTTCTTAAATTAAATTAGGTCAAATATGATACTATTAAAAAATAATTATTATTAGTTATGAGATAATATAAATTGAATTTTGATATTAGCCAAATTAAGGCAATTCGCTTAAGTCTAAACCACATTTCTTGGTATAACATTTATATGTTCTTAATTAAAAATGCATAATTGCATATAGCAGGTCAATTGAATTGAGGAATGTTGTTCTGAAAAGCTCTAATCCTTCTTATTTACCATTGGAAAACTTCTTGAGCTTTTTACATGGGTGGTGCTAAATTTACAATAAAAACTTCTTGAATGGTTCAAAATATTATTTCATTAAAATATTGGTACTCCGTAGATGAAGAGAGCATATACCTTTTATGTTAGTTTATAAAGAACTTCATTTGATAAGTCAAGGATAAAATCTCAGCAACGTAGCCACTTTCAAGCTTCAAAAATTCACAAGCACATGATCTTAATTTCTTGCGCGATGATGGATTGACTTTAAGGTGGACGTGTTAAAAACAACATACATGCATGTTTGATATACATAAGTGCTGGAAATCAAGAAGGAGTTCTATTTCATTTTCCCTCAACCATTGCTTACAAAAAAAGATCTAATTAATACTAAAATTTCAATATTCATGCAATACAATTATAAAGTTTGTCATTAACGATTTTGTGTAATCAAGAAATAAAATAAACAATAATATATTTTTTTACCTTTTTTCAACAAGAGATTTCAAAAAGTTAACTTGCCTACCAGAAATTTTAAGAAACCCTCAAATCCATGCATGGCTCAATATCTATATTTCACTCTGAATAATATATATATAGAGAGAGAGAGAGAGAGTTGTTAGCTTGAATAAAACAATATATAATTAAGCTATTGTTTTTTGTCTAACACACAATCGATTTCGGAGTTTTTAAGGACCACGAGCAATGACTTCATGTCAGTACTTATCATTATTTCTCGTCTGTATATAATTAGCTAGAAACTCAAACTCCACCGGCCACATGACGTCGTCTGATGTCCATTTTTTTAACTATGGGCCTTCCATCATAGTATATATAATCCTTAATTAATGAATTGACCATTAAGATTGAGATACTATAGCCAATAGGATACTCTTATAAATAACATTCCTTCACTTGCATAAAAAAAAAAAACCTAGATCGAGTGATAACTTTCAATGAATCTTGTTGTTATATAAATGAGGAAGAACCATTTGGTAATTACCTAGTAATCTCACATTATGTATTTTTAGGAATGGCTTTTGTATGTAGCAAGAACAGCCCACAGAGGGAGTACCAATTAAGCTTAATCTTGTAGAAAATCTTTCGTGTTGTTTTGTTTATCACAAATGTTTATTTTGATTTTACTCGACTGTCTTTATATATATCATATTGAAAATAAAATCTAATTATATTCGAGACAAAAGGTATAAAGTTTAACTTCTTTTAATAAATAAGATTTCAGAATTCAAATCTTACATATTGATAAAAAAATTCGTTTAGAGATCAGTTCAATAATAACTAGACCAAAACATGCTTATTTTGAACCATTCAATAGATAGACTTTATTAATTACTATAATCCAACTACGTGCTTAATAATTGAATATAATTACTTGATGTCTTATTAGTGATTTGAAATCAAATTTCATTCCTTAAGTAAACTAACTACAATGCTAATTGCAGAGGGGGTGAATCATCACATACCTAGAGTTGAAATAAAAGTGTAGGAAATATTTGAAGTTTCTCAAGTTGTATTAAGTAATTAAGCAACTCGTATGCCGAATGGAATCTTATGGTGGACTTGGATATCAATAATAGAATTCCAGTGTAGACGTTTTGGTGAATATGGTACAGAGTTGAATGATGAGAGAATTTTCTTACTTTCTTGCTCTTTGATGACTTCTACATGAGTACATTGTGAGTCAACATGAGACAAGAGAAATTGCATCAGCAACATGATCCTACGTCTAATCGACCTCCCACGCAGCAAAGCTTACCGCTTCTATAGCAACCACATCGCGGCTGTTGTATCTTCCCACTTCTCGGGTGAGAGCTTGCCTTGCCCGGCCGGAAGGAGATATGGTTATCCTTCAATAAATGGAGCATACGGTCACGAAGAATAAAGAAATATTTCTTCTGAACATTCGTTTTGTTTGACGCAACTCTTCAAGATATATTATTGTTTTATGGTGAACGCATATTAGAAAAGAGCGACTTGTAAAACCGTCCAGAAATTAAGACTTAAAAGTACTGATTCAAATTATGAAAAGGGCATAGAGAGGATGAGATTAGAAATAAAAGTGGACAATTCCTCTTTATATAGCCAAGGCCTAGAAAACCTGCCGTTAAATAAATAAATAAATAAAAGAGAAACCCTTAAGAAACAATGTTGTTATAACCAACTCAAGCAATTGGACCGAAAAGCCAGTGAACTAAAACTTGAGCCGGGTCATTTTTTGTCAAAAAAACTAATTGGATCTGCAATGAACCATCGAATTAGACAATTTCATTCATTTACATTTTTTTTAATTAATTTATTTTACCAAAAAAAATTATATATAAAAATTTAGAAATATGCTAGATGTGATCTAATAGTTGAACTAGAGTCCTCATCACTTTCAACGTGGGAGTTGGTTTTGATAACATTACTCAAAAAGAACTAATCACAATTTTAATTTACCAATTAGTTGTCAATTTTTTCTAATCAAGCGAGTAATCTTTTTTATTATTATTATTATTTGAGTAGTCGAAATTGTAATTTTTCTCATTATTTGCAAACATGGTTCGTTAATGAGATTGTTTTTCGCATGGTAGCCACGTGTGAGACATGTGGCTACCGTGTGTAAATGGCATGGGAAAAAAACAAAAAACAAGTCTTTACCGTTATATGCATGAGTCTCGACCTTTTCTTTAGAAAAAAAAAAAACACACACACACATCGAAGGCTCCTAATAAAACTAGTTTTCTCGTTATATGCATGAGTCTTGACCTTCTTTTCTTCTTTTTTCTATGGTTGTTGGCTTCTCTATTTCTCATGCTCCGATGAGTCCGTCGATGGTATGGGTGAGTGTAGGTTTCGTTTGGAAGTACATAACGATCGCGTTGGGAATGGGTTGCATTTGAAGGATGGTTGATAGTGGTTGACAATGAAAAGAAGTGTGCTTCGTCCGTAGATTGACATGAAGCCGAGTTTTAGTGGTTGTACATAATAGGTGACTGTGGGTTTGATTTGAAAGTACATAATGATCGCGTTGGGAATGGGTTGCATTTGAAGGATGGTTGATAGTGGTTGATAGTGAAAATAAGTGTGCTTCGTCCGTAGATCGACATGAAAATGAGTTTTAATGGTTGTACATAACAGGTGAGTGTTGGTATGATTTTGAAGTACATAACGATCACGTTGGGAATGGATTGCATTTGAAGGAAGATTGATAGTGGTTGACGAGTGAAAGAAGTGTGCTTCGTCCGTAGATCGACATGAAAATGAGTTTTAGTGATGGCTGATGGTGTTAGGGGTGGTCGACGTTCATGGTAATGGGTGGGATTTTGAGGCTTAGCTTCGTTTGATGGAAGAAAGTTAATGGGCTTTGATAAGGTAGGTGGTGCTCGTTGTAAGTGAGTTTGAAGTGTTTGAGAGAGAGAGGGAGAATGGGTATTCGAGGTAGCAGGTTTGGGTTGGTTGGTGGAAGAGATGCGTAGCTTTGGGTGAGTTTTGATAGAGATGGCAAATGGAGAGGTCAGTAATGGGTAGTAGTTTGGGCTATTGTGGTCAGTTCGGGAGTGGTGGTAATGGTTATTGATGGGTTGCAAGTCTTGAATTTTAAAAGAAGGGTTGATTGTTTTTTTTTGTTTATTATTTTTAATTTTTCTTGATCATTTACACTTAGCTATCACATCATTGTCACATGAAAACCAATCTCATTAATAGCTAACATGCGTAAATAATGAAAAAAATTAATAAAAAATTAACAGAGACACTTACTTAGGAAAAACATTTACAATTTGAATTACTCAAACAACAAATATTAAATAAATACATACTTAACTAGAAAAAAAATGATAATTTGATTAAAAATGTGATTAACTTTACTTAAAAAGGTTACATTTTCTTGGTAAATTAATACTACGAAAATTCTTCTTTCCTCGAAATGTGCTACTCCGTGGTTAATTTGTAATGCATGATGGCCACTTCATCAAATGCCCGTTCTCTTGTTGGCGGCCTGTTTTATTTTTGTTTTTATTATTTTTTTAAGTGATTGGCGGCTTATGTTAGTTGGTCGCAGTAGTTAAGCTTCCATGTACCTTCCCCTCGTATTGAAAAACATGCGAAAAAAAAAAAAAAAAATTGACCCGGAATTTTCAATGGTCGGATCGTGAAATGGAAATTTCTTCCTCTCATTTTTCAATCCTCCCATTTCTTTTGCAAGCAAAACCCAAATTATTGGAATACGGGAACTGACATAACTAAACGAAAATTGTATTCAATTAGCCTATAGTGTAAGTACGAGCGTCGAGGATGTGTAACTGAGGTATTTTCCATGTATTTTAGTCGAACCTTCACCTAAAATTACTGGGTTATATAAAGGTTTTAGAGGTAGAGATTAGGGACTGGTGGCGGCCGCCGTCGCCCTCCCAAAAGTTTCAACTAAAACCCTTATTAGGGACTGTTAATTGCGGAGACTTTCTTAAAGTAATTTGTTAGCTGTATTTTATAGAAAATAATCCCTTCAAAATTAATAATTTATTTGTTAGCTTTACTATGAATTTTAAAACAATAGATTTTGTATGGTCATGTTTTATCCTTTCAGCATATTCATTCCACCATTGGGTTTGAGCATTCGCCACGAAGTTTCCAGAAATTTATATTTAGCTAGTATTTATCCCTCGTAGACGAAAAACCACCACCCAAAAAAAAAAAAATTATTTGATTATTCTGAAATTATACATCATAATATAGACCGCTAGCAACCTCGATCCAAAAACCGTAGGTGGTTTAAGAAAAACTATACAATTAAATTACTAAAATTATTGTATAATCATCTTAACAAAAGTAAAACCTAGTTGTCCACTTGTCTGAAAATTTCTCAATCCACAGAAACTGTCCACTTCATGTCATTGTAAGGATTATGAAATTAATTAAGCCAAAATTCTCAAAATAATAATAATAATAATAATAAAATTAAGGCCAAGGATAATACGGCGTAAAGTAACGGAAACATACCTTTCTTGCGTTGACAAGAGGGCATCTTCAACAATATTTTATGTCCATTTGTGGGCTTTATATACGAACTAAGCTAGAGCTTGTTACAATATATCGCTCCATACCGAGATTACCCCCTTCAAGACGCAAGTGAGAGCTTATCTCGCGAGGCTCTCTATTCTGAATCCTTAATTTGCCCTGTTTATCCATTACTTTCTTCATTCCTTCTCCTATCCTTGAGACATACTCCAGTTATGGCTACTACTTTATCTTGAATCGTCTTTCTTTTTGTGTCACTTTACAGTCAAAACAATTTCTTGCTGTTCGTTTTCCTTTTTTGGGTTTCCTTTAATTTGCATGATCACAGCTTCTCTTTACTTAGTAGATATGAGTAACACAATGATGCCAAGGGTGAAGGTCATGGTTTATTTGGTTTATGATAGAGGTTAAACCACTTGAATATTCACTATAGATCTTATTAATATTTGATCAAAGCATTCTTTCTTCTTTTCTTTTTATGTAATAACTTCATAGCAAAATATCAATTCATTCTCCTAGTTATTAATATTTATAAGGAGGTGTTATACTTATGCGTGGTTATTAACTCCAAAGTATCCATGCTTTTCTTTTGCTGTACTTAATTACTTCTGGTTGTACAAATTTAGTGTGATTGGTGTCATCATAAACCAATATTTTTCAATGGATGTAAGTAAGGGCAAAGGAAAGATGAAAGGTAATCTGATCATTAAGACATGGGAGAGATGCAAATCGCTTGGCAGCGGAAGCAAGAGAACGTCAAGACTGGTACGTTCTTTAACACCAAAGAGCAAATCATGGCCGCGGATCAAAGTTTCACTAGAAGATGATCACGAAAAAGAACACTCAAGGAAACGGCGTGTAGCCCCTGAAGGTTGCTTCTCGGTCTATGTTGGACCCCAGAAACAAAGGTTCGTGATCAAGACAGAGTATGCAAACCACCCACTATTCAAGATTCTGCTTGAAGAAGCAGAGTCTGAGTATGGTTACAGCCCTGAAGGCCCTCTTACACTACCTTGCAACGTTGATATCTTCTGCAAAGTGTTGATGACTATAGAGGACACTGATGTTGATAACAAAATTCATCAAGGATGTGGCTTTGCCAAGGATTATGGATCTTATCACCGTCTTAGCCCATCTAGGATGATTGCTTTGAATCAGTTCTGATCAGGATTGTATATTTAGCATTTTGTTGTCGTTTCGATCTTCATAATTTCTACTTTATTAGACTTTGTCGAGTGTACGGGAGTAAGCTATACATGAGTGTAAGCCTCGAGGTTGTGTAAGTTATGTCTTATCCGCTGTGAAATCATGAGCAGTGGTAGAGGATAAGCAGAGGACTAGAAAAGTATATCCACGCTATCTGTGTAAGATTGATTTACTACTGTTATGTGAATTTCTGTTTAATCAAGCTGTCTAATTTTGATGTCTTTGTCATGTCATGTGCCTACTTTTATGTTTGATTTTGATCCGTGAAAATATAAATGATAACTGGAAATTATTCTACTTCATATTATACTTGGGAATTAAAATAATAATAATAATAATTGTACAAACAAGTTACATATATGCAAATATGTGAACTGATTGGTCGTGACTTGTGACGTATCAAAATGTAGTGGAGGAAGCTGCAAGTTATTACTATTAAAAAGAAAAAAACATAAGAATATTCTTTAATCCTTCTGAAAACATGAGTAATTTAGTTGAAAACTAGTTTTTTTTTACCCGCGCTACGTTATGGTTAAAAAATATATATAAAATTATTTAAAAAAATCATTTTAGTTTGATAGTCTATTTTATGATGTGAATCTATAAAAACATATAAAATCAAAGGTGTAAAAAATTATTGAATTAAAAAATTTTGTATTTAACTATTTCTTATTTGTGTTTTTCATAATTTTTTCTTCGGAAAAAGGATTCATCCTTGTTAATCCATGGATTATTAACTAAAAAGAAACTTAAATAAATTTTTTTAAAAAAAATAGTATTTCATAAGATTGTATCAAAAAACATAAATAACAATTATTAAAAACTTACATAGAAATGAACAAATAATTTTTTTTACTTAATGTTGATAAGAATATCGATTTTTTAAAAAATATGAATTTAATTTTTATATATTTATTTACAAAAGAATAAATAATATTAAAATAAAAAATTATATTAATTTGAATCATTGAGTGGTTAAGCCAAAACATTATTTTAATTATTTAATTTTAAAATATTTAAAAATAAATAAATAACTAGCAAATGCTTAGTATAGTAGTAGTTGCACGAGTTGATTTCTAAAAAAATAACGATTTAATATTTTGTTAATACATCATAACTATACTAAGCGAGTTTAGAGTTTTCAGTCTAAAACAAAAAAAATACTATAAAAAGTTAACTTGCAAGGAATATATTGACTAAATTTGAAGTTAATAGACTAAAATAAAAATTATTACAAATTTATTTTTCAAATAATTTTGATTATACAAAGAATATAAAAATTAATAAAACATGTGAATTCTTTTTTTTTTCCTCCTTAAATATTTTTTTATTTCTATGTTGCGCATGGCTAGTCCTTGAATATAGGCCTCACGTATAGAGCAATCATCTTTTTTTTATTTTTCACATTTGACTTTCAACTATTAATTAATTAGTTTGAGTTTTTTTTTTCTAAACAAAATCGAGAAAAAATTATTTGAAATACACTTTTAATCTAAAAATTTATTTTAGACAAATTATATATATTAATCATGCCACGATAATTTAAAAGTTATCTAAATCTATTTTTCAAAAGAAAAACTAATCATGCTCTAAAATTTATTCCAAAATTCATACATATAGAAAATAAATCAAAACTGTAAGTAAATATAATTTTACATTAATTGGATGATTATTTTTTAAAAAAATGACAAATTAAAGTAGTAAATTTAAATAATAAAAATAATTAATAAAAAACACTAAAACAAAATGGGACAAAATCACAATATAATCAAAGTTTGAAATTGAGAAAAAAAAAGAGAATTTTTTAAAAAATGACAAATTAATGTAGTAAATTTAAATAATAAAAAAATTGAGAAAAAATTATTTGAAAAACACTTTTAATCTAAAAATGTATTTCGGACAAATTATAAATATTAATCATGCCACTAGAATTTAAAAAAGTATCTAAATCTATTTTTCAAAAAAAATAATAATCATGTTCTAAAAATTTATTCGAAAATCCATACATGTAAAAAAATAAATCAAAACTGTCAATAAATATAATTTTAAATTAATTAGATGAGAATTTTTTTAAAAATAACAAATTAAAGTAGTAAATGTAAAATAATAAAAAAATTAACAAAAAAAAATAAAAAAAGGAGACGAAATCACAATATAATCAAAGTTTGAAATTGAAAAAAAAAGAGAATTTAAAAAAAATTACAAATTAATGTAGTACATTTTAAATAATGTAAAAAAACGGATAAAAAATTATTTGAAATACGCTTTTAATCTAAAAATATATTTTAGACAAATTATATATATTAATCATGTCCTTATAATTTAAAAATGATCTAAATCTATTTTTAAGAAGAACAAATAATCATATTTTAAAAATTTATTACAAAATTCATGCATATAGAAAAATAAATAAATAATATTAGGAAATATAATTTTAAATTAATTAAATGAGAATTTAAAAAATTAAAAATTAAAATAGTAAATTTTAAATAATAAAAATAATTAGCAAAATTATTTGAAATACACTTTTAATCTAAAAATGTACTTTAGATAAATTATATATATTAATCATGTCGATATAATTTAAAAATGATCTAAATCCATTTTTAAGAAGAAAAAATAATCATATTTTAAAAATTTATTACAAAATTTATACATATAGAAAAATAAATCAAAAATATTAGAAAATATAATTTTAAATTAATTGAATGAGAATTTAAAAAAAAAAGACAAATTAAAATAGTAAATTTTAAATAATAAAAATAATTAATAAAAACACTAAAATAAAATGGGACCAAATCACAATATAATTAAAGTTTGAAATTAAAAAAAAAAAAAACAGAGAGAATTTAAAAAAAAATGACAAATTAAAGTAACAAATTTTAAATAATAAAAATAATTAATAAATTAAAGTTTGAAATTGAAAAAAGAAAGGAGAATTAAAAAATAAAAAATTAAAGTAGTAAATTTTAAATAATAAAAATAGTTGACGAGAAAACTTTAAAACAAAATATGACCAAATCACCATACAATTAAAGTTTGTAATTAAAAAAAAAGTTTAAAAAATTTGAGGACTAAAGTGTTAAAAATGACATAAATAGTGAAATGAATAGTGATTTATGAGTATGTGAATAATGATTTGTGAGTGTGTAAATAGTATTTCAAATAGTGAAATAAATAGTAAATCTATGTTTTACTTTAGTTTTAATTTGTTTCATAATATACGTCTTTTCTCGAGCTGGCTTTTCTTTCTTTCTTTTTTTTTTATAATTTTAAAGTAACATATATTTGAAAATCAATTTATGTGTTAATCTAAATTAAAATATATGAGTAATTAAAATTCTCTTTTTAAAGGATTTTAAGAACAAAACTCTCAAATCGAACTAATGTGTTAAAAGGAATTTAATACATTTTCTTGAGTATTAGTCACAAGATTTAAAAACTAAAAGATCAATAAAGAAAACAAACATTCTTAACTACCATGTAAACTCTTTAAAATTATGTAAGAATGGATAGGACAAATATCAGATTAACATTTCCTCTATTAAGGTTTAAGGTTTAGAATCTCAGCTTCAAAACATGTGGTGTTTGGAAGGATTTAGAGATAGGGGACAGATTATCCTCAATTGCCTCATTCAAATTTGATTGGACCTCGCATCGGACAAAAAACTAAAATAAAATATATGTCGTCCCTTTGAAAAGATAAAGAAGGAAAACAAATACGATTAGCAATTTTATCAAAGAAAGAGACGCAGCTTATAATTAATTAGATGATTGTCCTTAAGGCAGCTAGCGATAAGATGCAATAGGCGAGTTGATTTGACACAGTGTTTACCCTCTTCACAGTTCAAATCGTGAAATTGACTTCTTCATAGGAAAATGCAATTTGACTTCTAATTTAGATGATATCATAGGGAGAGGTGCGTTAGCTGGTTGTAGTTAGTAATTAGCTGATTGCTGTCCTAATCTCCTCTATGTCCAAATGGTGTGTATAAGAATAATTCCTTGTGGTGGAGTAATCAATAAGGCATGTCATGTTTTTATCGGTATATATTGTCCCTCGTAATGTTCATTATGAAAATTAAAAAATAAAATCATGCACTTCTGCACATCTATAAGGTTGTAGTCTACTGATAATCAAATATCGATTTGTAGATTAGGTTCGGTTCAAGATTTGATTATTTTGATAAGCAATTTTAAAAATTCATTTTCAGAATAATTAAAATCGTGTGTTGGGGAATGCTTTTTAACCATGCTTAATGATGAATTAATTTTGAAATGCACAAAATTTGAGAATTTATTCTCGAAATATTCGAAGTCATGTATTAGGAAGTGCTCCTTAGTTATGCTCAATGAGAAATTAGTCTTAAAGCATACGAAAGCTGAGAATTTATTCTTAAAATAAATGTGTTCTTTAACCATGTTTAATGAGGAATTAGTTTATGTGTATAAAAACTGATTCACATACACCCTCTCTCTCTTAAAAAAAAAAAATAATAATTCAATGCCTATAGAGTAAATTATAAATTAGTCTATCTTGTTTTGAGAAATCAATTAATTAGTCCATCTAGTTTTAAAAACTAATTATTCCGTTCTTTTTGCTATTTTTAAATTTATTTTAAAGAAAAAAATAAAAAATAAGTAAAAATATGAAATATTTATTAAAAAAATATTTTATAAAATAAAAAAATTAAATTTTTCGTATTTAGCATTAGTTAAAAAAAACTAAATAATTAATTTTTAAAATTAAAAAGTTTAATTAATTCATTTTTAAAACTAGAGGGACTAATTTATAATTTACTCATCCGTATGTGATTCTACTTTGTGTATTAAATTAAAACTAAAAATGATTATCGACAATGGACCATTTCAAGTACCAGTCTACCAGCCAAGGACGTTTCAGAATCTTACCAGCCACCGCCACGGATGCCATGTCATGGAAGTTTACTTGTATCCAC